CTCTGTGCCCTACCCATATTTGGACTGGGCACATAAACAACAGGTATAGGAAGATCCTTATGTGTATAATGATTTAGAGGTGTAAGCAGCTCTTTAAATGCACCCTTGTTTTCTTATGTTCCTGGCGTATTTTGTTTCCTGTGTTATCTTCTTGCTTGATACACCTAAACTTAAGGAGTAATTTCAAAATAGATTCCTCATCAGAAATGTGTGTGTGTGTGTTTAGGAAATGGTGAATAAAATCATGTTCAGGTAGAAGCCATTACCCATGAATATAAATAGTAAAGGAAGTCTTTCATGTATAATGCATCATAGAGAGCAGCTGCTGCTATTTATAATGCTCATAATGAGAGACAGGCAGTCCCATCCTAGGGTACTCTGATGCCAAAAGCCACTCTGCCAAAGCTACACCAGCATTACTTGATATACATATATGTAATCCTGTGTTCTGCCAGGAGCAAAGCAGAAAGCAAATTAATACAAGCACGCCCAAGGGTTACTCCAGCAATAGCAACGCCGATGACTGCTCTCATATACAGTGGTACCTCTAGATACGAACGGGATCCATTCCGGAGCCCCATTTGCATCTAGAGGTAAACATAACTGCACGCATCGCTTTTCACCACTTCTGCGCATGCGTGTGACGTCATTTTGAGCGTCTGCGCATGCGCAAGTGGCGAAACTCAGAAGTAGTGCGCTCTGTTACTTCCGGGTTGCTGAGAAGCGCAACTCAAACACGCTCAACTCGAAGCATATTTAACCCGAGGTATGACTGTATAACATGTCTGAGATCACACACCATTGTGTTCCTGTTGTACCTGTTCAGGGAACACTCCAGCTATCAAATGGCAATGGCAAGGAAGCCATGATGATGATTGGTCATTGAACCCCTTCTGTGTACTCTTCCTATGTACATGTGTATTCCCAGGAAGAGCCCAAGGTACCTATCTTTAGACAGGGACAGAGAATTACCATCCCCAGTAGCCAGCCATCTCTATAAATTCATTTGGAGGAGGCCAGCATGTAAGACTCAAAGGCCACAGGCCCACCATGAGAAGGGTTCAAGTTTTGTTGAAATACCAAGGATTCAACAGAGATAATGTTCTCTACAGCAAGTGCTGGGAAAGACTTCTGCCTGATACCTTGTAGCATCACTTCCAGTTATAATAGACCAGACATGGGGAACCTGTTCCTCTCCAGATATTGTTGGATCTCAGTGTCCTTCATGGCCGGCCAACATGGTCAGTGATCAGAGATGACAGACTCTCCCTCTCTTGGGGATTTTTCATGTTGGTACAGTGTGTTCGGTGTTTTCTGTCTTTCTGGCACATATACATGAATGATCTCCCCCAGCAATTTCTAGATCAACTCTGTATCCCCAAATGGAAACCAGAGTCAGAGGTCATACATTTTCTATTACTGGGGAATGATCAGGAGCTCACCAAGTTAGTGGCTAAATATCTCTATTTGATTTTTTGTTGTCGAAATACTTCAGACGTCTGATCTCCCTGGAGACCAAGAGATATAACGCTAGACTGCTCTGCCTCCTTTTTTTAAGCAAATGTTTTGTGCCACTGGGGAAGTGGTAATTCTGTATTGATTTGTTTTGGATGTTGTATGTGATGCAAATAAAGGTTTTACGATACGATATACATGAATGTGAGTTTCTCTGTTGTTTGTGATACAAACCACATTCGTAAAATCTGGTTATGGTGAACTGGATATTAGCTAGTCTCATCACTACCTACAGCCCATCTCTATCCATGTGTTGTCATTATACTCTCCAACTAGTGTTGACGATTGGCCTTTTGGTTGTACTGGAGATGGGTAGATATTAGTGATTTGCCAACTCAAATATTTGCTGCAAGTAAATAGGATTAAAAGATCAAGCTTCCTTCTAAAGATGATTCCAGTGTGAGCCTCTAGCACAGAGCTTTACAAACTGTGTGTCGCAACACATTAGTGTGTCGGCTGCAGTGTATAGGTGTGTCATGCAACCACTCCCTGCACTTCTCCCAGGGATGGAAAGGGGTTAGTTCAGGGGTCAGCAAACTTTTTCAGCAGGGGGCTGGTCCACTGTCCCTCAGACCTTGGGGGGGGCTGGACTATATTTTTTGAGGGGGAAATGAACAAATTCCTATGCCCCACAAATAACCCAGATATGCATTTTAAATAAAAGCACACATTCTACTCATGTAAAAACACGCTGATTCCTGGACCGTCCGCGGGCCGGATTTAGAAGGCGATTGGGCCAGATCCAACCCCCAGGCCTTAGTTTACCTACCCATGGGTTAGTTTAACCTCTGGTTTGCTCGTAAAACTGAATTGCTGTGCTGTGAAATGATGCAGGTATAAAAAGTCTGTCACCAACATGAAAAGTTTGGAAAGCACACTCCTAAACATACAGTGGTACCTTGGGTTACATACACTTCAGGTTACATACGCTTCGGTTTACAGACTCTGCTAACCCAGAAATAGTACTTTGGGTTAAGAACTTTGCTTCAGGATGAGAACAGAAATAGTGTAGCAGTGGCACAGCGGCAGCAGGAGGCCCCATTAGCTAAAGTGGTGCTTCAGGTTAAGAACAGTTTCAGGTTAAGAACGGACCTCTGGAACGAATTAAGTACTTAACCCAAGGTACCACTGTATTGACTGGGATGCACATCTAACAAACACTGAACTGTAATTGTACAAGCCGCAAAATACAAACTTATTGGCATTTAGAATAGTGATTCCCGAAATCTGTGCCACAATAAAAGCTGAAGTGTGCCTTGAAAAATCAAGACACTTTGTAGATGCACCTGCCATTCAGTGCTTTGGAGAGCAGGAATGTTGCTATTTTAAGAGAGGATTGAGGAACATTTTTTGAGTAAAGTGTGAAACTTTTGGTTTTAATCTATTCACCCACAAAACCCGCGCCTCAAGATGCTGGTTCACAACATGTGCTCTAATTTTGGGGGGAGGGTGGACCTGTTTTAGGAAGTTATGAAGCTTAGCATTTTATTAGCCATTGATTGATACAGGGTCTGTTGCAGAAAATTATATTTGCAGGCCAAATTGTCACTTTTCTGAAGTTCATTTACGCCAGGGAAATGTTTTATGACTTTGTTTAGAACCCATGATACTACTCAACGTTTCAAATAACCAGCACAGGCCCTGTAAACCTGTTGCTGAAATTTTGTATTCAGTAGTTAATAATTTAACAAGCCAAAGCTACAAAAGTGACAAGGCTTAACACATAAGAAGAGGTGTGTGTGTGTGTGTGTGTGTGTGTGTGTGTGTTTAACAGAAATAATAGCATGTAGTTGAAAAATTCACAATAGTGCTAATAAAACAATTACAGTGGTACCTCGGGTTACATATGCTTCAGGTTACATACGCTTCAGGTTACAGACCCCGCTAACCCAGAAATATTACCTCGAGTTAAGAACTTTGCTTCAGGATGAGAACAGAAATCGGGCATCAGCGGTGCAGCGGCAGCAGGAGGCCCCATAAGCTAAACTGGTGCTTCAGGTTAAGAACAGTTTCAGGTTAAGAACGGACCTCCAGAACGAATGAAGTTCTTAACCCGAGGTACCACTGTATCTGATATTAGATATGAAAGTTCTCCCTGTTCTTGGTGAACAAATCTGCTTCCCTTATTGTGGCCTCGAGATTTACAGCAGCCACACAGTTCTTCCTCCTCCTGTGGACAGAGCTGTAAACCCAGCACTCTTCCTGGTTCACCAAGAGCAGAGAGGTTGTGGGGGCTGGGGAGAGTTCTGAGGGCCAGATAGGAGAGGCATGGAGGGCCTCAGACCTGAGGTTCCCCATCCCTGGTATAGAATTACTTTCTTCTGTCTTTCCCTAATTTCCTGCCATTCAGTATCCTTTGGATGACAGAAGCTGAGGGTTGATCGAAGGGAAGGAATCTGCTGAACTGGATTTGGAACAAGCAGACAGAAAAGATAGCTCTGAAAACAAGAGTCATGAATGTGCTCTGTTGGTCTGACAAGAACTGGAAGATGGTCTGGAAGCATTTATAGGTAATGCTGACTAAGCAGAAGTCAGTAAGGAAAGCAGGAGTTTAGGGTAAAACAGAGCTCAGGGTACCAAGGACAACTCAGAGTTATCTGCATTTTCCATTTATTTTATTTTTTTAATGCATCAAAATATGCTTGCATTGTATATTTTTGAGAGAAAATGTGTTCACAAATGTGTGTTTTGAAAGAATGTACTAAAAATAGAGAGTTTGCATTCAAATGGAACTATTTGACATTAGCAGACTAGCATAGAGACAGGATAGGAAAGATTTATTTATGAGCGAACGCATACAAAAGTGACAGAGAGAAAACAGGCTGATTCATTTGCCCTTAGATGAGATGTCAATGGAACTGAGGTTGATGAGAGTCTGAAATGGATAATGCACTTCCTCATCAAATCAGATGAGAAAAATGAACTAAGGAATCCATATAGGGGTTAGATAAAGGGGGAGAAATAAAACCTAGGAATAATAATAATAATAATGTGCTTTTCCCCTTATGTACCATGGAAACATATATTTCTCTCACAGTTTTGTTGTGTTTTTGTATTCCCTTGTCTGAACAATTGGAAACCAAGAGTCCATACATCTTCACGTTATATAACAGATGGTTTAGCGTGTAGAATTCTTGTAACTTCTCCAGAGAGTAAGATTGCAGATTTTTATTTTTAAAAATGTTTTTAAGTCTTAAATCAGTTCCCTGTGAAATGGTCCTTTGCAAATCATGCCAGTGGTGGTCTCCCTTTAACATTGCATCTAATATATGATCTCAGCAGCAGACTAATAAATGGGCCAGCAAAATAGCATCAGGGGAACAAATTTTACCTTGAGAATAGTACTATAATAACTCCTGTTTCCCAGCAACCTGTTACTGTATGATATTTGGACCTCTTGTTTTTGGATGTTGGTAGCTGAAGAACCAAGGAGGAAAAATATGACTAACCTGGAGTGTTTTGTCTTGTCTTGTTTTCTTTCACAGGAAAAATCCCAATATTTACAGAGGACTCTTGCCTCTCAAGTAGATAAATCCACACAGACTGAACTTGTAGGCCACGATGTAAGTAGCTGTTTTAAACAGTTTTTCTTTTATCTTCTGTATTGATATTTAAATCTCTACCAGCCTATTTTCCTTTGCTACTGCTGTGTCTGCGTATTGATGTAAAAGTGCAACACCATTCATCTTTCGCTCTTAAATGATTCTCAAATGCCTTCTGCAACAGAAAAAAAAGAAGATAATTACAGCTACCTGCCAGCATACCAATGTCCTATTAATTGCTTGTTTTACCAACAATTCCCTTATACTCTCTAGAATTTGTGCAGGAATGTTCGTGGAGAATATGTATTAGTAGAATTTGAAGTCTTTCCCTATTTTCAAATATTGTAAAAAGCATTTACCTACTTATTAACAACTTAATGAACGTATTATGCATAATCACCAAAGACTAAGCCAGTCTTTTATTTCCTTTTTAAAAAATTGTATTACAAATGAAAGCTGAAGAAGTTTGCAGAGAAGTTTGCATTAATATTTTAATCACTGGGTATCAGCAGGGGATGTTGCTAGTAATTTAATTGAAAATTAGAATTTTTATCCTGATGCGATTATGAACTGTGTCTATCAAGAAAGTACTCCAATGTATTGGAATGATTAATAGAGCTGGCTTGCATGTGATATCATTCCCATTACAACCTCCCTTGAAAAGTATATTGGTAATCAAGGTTTGAAAGACAGAAGCGCAATTATTATCTACCGGAATGAACATGGTACTGTTCCCTTTTTCAAAGAGCATCCTCTAAAGTAGTTTCCGATTTTTGATGTAGGCTCATATGTGCTTTTGGTCAGTTCCATCGGTACTGAAGTTGTTGTGCGCATTTTACTTTTATGGAATTTCTGTTTCTCAAAGCAGAATTAATGAATAGGATAGCCCTGTTCTGGTAGGCGTGCTGGACATTAACCTTAAAGGAAGTCATCTTTTTGTTTTGTTGTCTTTCAAAGAAGTGGGAATCCTTGTTGTGACCATATGTGAATGGATGGCTCTGTGGACTAGCTCTCTGGCTTATCTACTTTCCATTTGGAGTGGGATTCTGATTTGGGGCTGCCTACAAACAAGCCAGAAACCTAGTGTTCTTGGGTGAAATGGCCAAATGAGAGATCTGTAGAACCTGCATTTCCATGTCTGCATTCTGTGGTGGTACTGTTGTCTGCCAGGACCGTAGGCCAAAACATCAGCACATTGAAACTGATTCGTACGCTTATTTATTTATCACATCATTTGTGTGTTTATTACATCTATATCCTTTCTGTTGATCTACCCGAGGGCATCAAGGAGACTAAATTAAAATTACCAAAAGCAAGAATAAAGCAGTTTTTAGAAACAGTATAATGATTCACCAAGGGAAACCTCTCATAAGGGCACATATTCTAAGAAAGTTATTCATGGTGAACTCCCATTGAAATCATCCTTTGGGTCAGCAACAATGGCTGGTGGGAACAGAGAGTTCTTCATCACAGAGAAGAAAGCCCATTGCTCTTCATGACCTTGCCTGTTTCACAAGTTTCAATAGGAGAACTAATTTGTGCAATATCCAGCACTTGTTTAATACCTCCTGGGTGTCAAGCTTGCTATTTGTGACAAACCTTCCTATGAGAAAAAAATAGTTTAAAGGTCATTTGGGGGGTATTTTTTTTTACCTGAATAAAAGAGACAACTTTCCAGGTTAATTGAGTTAACCTAGAAGTTTCAAAGTCACAAATGAACATTATTTTGAGGGTTTTACTTTGATTCGTGGCTAGCAATGTTTTCCTCAATTTTTGTACCAGCCAAGTTTCAAGATTTTCCAGTGCCATTTCCCTACAGTCAGGAGCTGCAACTGGATTGCCATATGTTTTACTCACACAAGTTAACAAATATCTGGATATGCATGCACCCTGATGTCACCAAGCTTAGCCGGTTTATATTATAAAGACACCTTGGAGAAAAGACAATGAACAGATAATGGGGAGAAATAAAACAGCACATTTGCTAGCATAAGCAAGGGAAGTATCGTTGATAACAGATTGATAAAACAAATGTCATGCAGCTAAGAATTAGGTTTTTTGGTACATGTATCTCCAATACACTCCACCAATTCAGGGCTTTAATTTTAGCAGGGGAACTTAAAGGATGACATGCAACTAAGTTTTACTCAGAGTAGACATATTGAAATTAACAAATGTGACTAAGTTATGTCCATTAATTTCAATAGGCCTACTCTGAGTAAAACTTAATTGTATACCACCCTAAGTAAGGAATTATGTTACTATAATTTGGAACACAGCATTTCTTCCTGCATTGTAAATTGTTGTTCTGTTAAATTATGGTGTCCTGAATATTTGACTAATATGGAATGCATTGCAGTTCAGTTTTGATTTTCCAGAATGCTCTGAAAACATTTGCAAAATGGCGTCATAAAATTAGTTTTGCCTATACTTATTTACCTTTCATTAAGACTTCACTTTGGAATTATGGACAACTATGATGTCTTCTTCTCAACAGATTCCTTGAACTGCAATTTTGGTCACCTCTGTATTTGCTAAGCTAATTTGTGCCCCAGGATTTAGATATTTGGCCTGTGCACAGCGTATTGATAAAGAGGGGGATTAATTAAAATAGGTAGACCTCATGTGTTCAAAGGTTGCAAAGGTTGTCAAGAGACCTCTGCCAGAAAATGAGGTAAAACAACATATTGTTTAAAAAATAATAATCCCATTTCTAAGTATACTTAAAGATAATATCCAAGCAAAACTTATTAGGTTGCAAAGTGTGTGTGTGTGTGTGTGTGTGTGTAAAATAGGGAGGGAGAGAAAATTGCTAATGGGTATGTGGTGAGCATATCTTAATAAATCAATGTCAGTTTAACCTTCTTCACCTTCTCCTGTTCTTCAAAATCTTCTTTGATTAAGATATCAAGAAATAATTTCTTAAATTTCACTTGCATAATCAAAACAAAGAACAAAGATGCATGTACAGTTCGTAATGCAATTTTCAGTGGTGATGAGATTACATGAACCGATAGGTGCCTCAGTACCAAACCATATGTTAAGCAGACACAGATGCTATTCCTATGGTTGGGTATGATTTCCCTTAATCAAACGTAGTGCTTTTGCAACATCCTACTATTGGTTCTTCTGTCGGAGAACACTCAAGCACCTGCTCCCCACCCCTGGCCCAATGTTGTAGAAGATTCTGCAGCATGCTCCAGGGAACACACTCAGTTTGTCTCACCACCACCCTGCTCCCATCCATCCTGCATTTGTTTAAAAGTTTGTATGTGTGTAGGCTTTGTCTGCTTTATAGAGGATCTTGCCTTTTCTCAGTTGTGAAGACAGAGGCTACATGTGCCCAGCCTGTATATTGGCTCTGCTCAGAACTTTAGATGAACTGTTTCAGAGACACGCTCTCAATCTCACCCACTTCCATGATGCATGTATGGGGCAAATGTGCAGACTCAAACTGGCCAGATAACCGTACACACACCTTCACTTCCCAGGTAAACCAAGAGAGAGTTTTCAGCACTTCACTACATTACCGTTCCCACAACTTTTACTATTTGGTTGAAAGCCATAACAGTTATGCAATTAAAATGATATGCAACCAACATAAGTTGATTATGATATAGGTATATACACATACCTGAAGAGCAGCTTGACCAGCTTTTTCTAGTCACAGCAGGTTATAGTACATTAAAATACTATGATTTTGAAATGGAAAGTGCAACTTATAAGTTTGGAGCCATCACTATAAAAATTGGTCAAAGTCACACCAAAGTCATGCATTGTTCTGCCACCTTGAATCAAAATAGTATCTGACATCCAAATATCAGTGAAGACCACTGTCCCCACCTTGGGAACCCTCATGCTGAATTTGGCGACGCTATCTGGAGAGGCAGCTGAAACTATATAAAAAAACAGGCAAAGTCATGCCAAAGTGATATTTTGGTCTACCATCTTGATTCTAATGGTGGCTGGCATTTGAACATTAACAAAGATCACTATCCCTCCCTTGGAAATCCATGTGCCAAGTTTGGTGATGATATCTCAAGAGGTGGCCTAACCTATAGAGAACAAAGGGACAGAAACGTGACTTTTGATGTGGAGCTTTAATTAACATACATTAGCATGTCTTCTGTCAAATTGTTTGCCACTTATCCCAGTATAGTGAACATCAGAGTGTAGGGTTTCTTCGGCTGTACCTCATCATTGAACACCATTCTTGTGCAATTTGCATTGGTCCCCCACTTTTCTATAGTACAGATAGACACAGCTCCATCTTATGTGGCCTCCACAACTGCAACTGTTGATTGCACTATTCTTTCTTGATCCATCTTTGTCTGTCCAGTCATTGTGCTATAGCCTGAGTGGTAGAAATATGTCTATGATGACTCACCTTAATAATTATTAAAAATACCATCATTAATACTCCACTTTTTTCAAAATCTGATTATCTTGTAGAATTACTTTTTCCATTCCAGATAGTTGTATTCTTCCTCTTATTCCCTCTTCCTTTGGTGATCTGGAGGACTATATTTGTATTACACTTCATTCTTTTATGTTGTAACATGCAGCATATTATGCACCATCTTCAGCCTTTATCCATTTCAGCAATTTACAAAAAATGCTGAGATGAGGGTACTGAGAAGCAGACTTTAAAGCATGACCATCATGTGCCAAGATGGGAGTTTCACCCAGTCAAAACATTATAATCTGCACATAGTGGTTTGGGGAGGGGTCACTCATTCGACATGGCAGCTATAATCATCACCATGTTGTTGCAGTGGGTTGGATCCAAAGGCAAGAAGGAAACCAGCTTGCTTCTAACTGTGGAAGCTTTCACAACAGTCAAGTGCTATAATAGGTAGGCTCATGAGCAGCTTTAATGGCTATGCTTGGGCAAGATGAAGTACTGTACATTGTTGGTTTCAATTGCGACATTTCAATGAGGTGTAAATTCCAAAAGTGGAAGACACCGTGTGCATTTAGAAAGCCTGAATGGATCCAACTCACTATTTGAAAAGAACTGA